AATCATCCAGCAAACAAGCATTACCATGGTATCAAAGTGTTTCCTATACAAAACTACATGCCATAACCTCATGGGCCATGGCCCATGGCACAAGTAATTAACCACTGCCAACATATTGTAGCCAAGATTACACCTAGCCAGAGTCAATAGGCAGTGATTATGAAAACTAGTAGTTCAAGCCTCAAACTCATATCTATCTATGCCATTTGCTATACCTTCTGATAAATGAGACCAAACCGCTCAACACGATGACAAAGGTAACTAGTTTCCAGGAACTAAAATTACAATTTTTTCTTGACATTTTATTTCTACATGGAAATATCAGAAATCTGAAACAGAATCGACTGACACCACTGGTGAACCGTGTTCTGTGCTTCTACCACAATAATTTCAGTAGCTAGTAGGTTAGTAGCAAGCAAAAGAGATTAAGAATCTCGAAGGGAATCCTTACGAGCACTAAGGCAGGAGTTGCCCATAGCTTTTTACCACTTCGTCTTCTTGGGAATAACCTGTAAATGAAATCCATCTTCAGCCAATAACGCAGAGCTAGGAACTTGAACAATATTGCACATTTCAGAAAGAAAAAAAATGTTTGTAACATGAGGATCCTCAACAACAGTGCATATCTTTATTAAGAATCCTAATTCTATAGGATTCTTAATAATCTTGACCAAGTAACCACCACAAGAAACAAGAATACACAAACACGAAAAATTGAGGATCCTCATGTTACAAAAGGCAGGTGCTTTATTCTTAAGCAGTCAGATCAAAGAACCACACTACACTCTGGAACGTCAACAAAGCCAAGAACTTGCATTGCACATTGCACACACAAACCACAAGCCAATAACCTCCAATAGAAATCAAGAGCTAATAATTGATCGAAGAATCTTGCACACTATAAAAAACAGAGACGAGCCATAGAACACAAGAATCCTCAACGGCAGACCAAATCAAAACTGCAAATCTTATAACCAAGTTATTTTTTTTTAGAATTTTATCTTATAAGCAAGTAATAACCGGGGAGTACAAGAAATACACTGGAAAAAAAAGAGAGAAGAAATATCAAGCGGTAGAAACCCCACTTCCACTCGAGCAGGCAGATGAAACAAATATACTCAAAGAAAGCCAGGAACTTTTATTGAAAAAATCAACTAAACGAGAAAAGGAAAATCCCATCCAGAAAGCCAAGAACCTGCATGAATCGAAATCCCCTCCACTGTTGAAACAACCCCGAAACACCGTAACCGCTGGGCTCACAAAACGATTGGAAAAATTCGCTCCTTTCTCAGCCTCTGACCATCAAACAGAGCACGCATACTCCATCCCTCAAAGGCACGAAGCTTTTCTACGGATCGGGAGAAGCGAAGGGAGGAGAGGGGGGCCGAGATTTGTGGGGGGAATGCACATACCTCGCACTCGCAATCACAGCAGCGCCTCTTCCTCGCAGACGTGGGAGGTGAAGCCCTGGGCACAAGTGGGGGTTTTATGGAGGTGAAGCAGACGAGGAGGAGGGGTAGAACCGTCATTTCCGATCGTACTTTGCTGGACAGGTGTCCCAACGGCACCGAGGAAAAAGGGATAGAAATAGTCACAGAAATTTCGGATCTACTCAGTATTAACTATAAATCATCTATGACCAATACATACAATAGTTGCTTACTATACTGTTAATATTTGGTTCCACCTGTCATATACACATTACGTCTTGGAGTCCGTGCTATAGCTGGCTATAGATCTGTAGCTCGATGCTCTTCTCTCTCCTCTTTTATCTCTTTAAAATATGTTTATAGATTATTTATAATCTGCTATTGTACCTGCTCTAAGGGTACCGTCATATCCGATTGTTATCTTTTCTTTTTTACGATATGTTGATTTTATTTTTTCTGATTTCTTGTTACATCGTATTGCTATCGATATTGAGTAATTTAAATAATAAATATGATCGACTACCAACCAATCAAGCGTGGTTTGGCTCACATGTTACCTTCTCCACCTATCTCTTGCAGAGTTGCAGCAGCAGTAGTATTTTTTGAAGTGAAAACCGAAGACCCACTATTAAAATTTCACATATTTGATCAACATTTTCAGCAATAGTTTCAGGTGTTCCTTTCTGTGGGCGGATTGCATTTTGGCAATTCTCGTCCCGCCTTCGGCAACGTTGGTCGATGTAATAATTTTGTAACCTGTACTCTCTTTATCTTAATGAAATTTGATTGGACTTATCTTCGGCTGACCCAGCAAAAAAAAAAAATCAACTTTGCAGAATATCTGTAATGGCATTGCTTTGTGTGCATGTTCAGAACTTCAGACAAGAGTTGCAGTGGTAATATTTTTCAGGTGAAAATCCAACTCTTAGTCCACTGAAAAGAAAATTGTGATAGAAAAGAAAAATTCTACATCTTTGGCTGTGTTTAGATCAAAACTTCCAACTTTTTCCATCACATCAACCTGCCATACACATAACTTTTCAGTCATATTGTACCAATTTCAACCCAAACTTCTAACTTTGAAAGGAACTAAACACAGCCTTTGATCACAAACAAGGCCAACCGCTTCAAATTTCTATAAGCAATGTCATCACAATTCTAGCCTGTTCTTCAGAAATGGCATTGCTTTGCGTGCATGTTCAGAACATCAGACCAAAACCGGTAATGTTTGAGGTGCTAGCTACCTTCCTCCTCAACGAAAATGGAATCGCTTCTGGTGCAGATGAACATACGAAGTTCCCACGAAATTTCGCAGCAATTCCAGGCAAATTTTCACACTGAATCAGTACATTTATAGGCAAAACACAAAAGCTCACAGTAGTTGAGCCTTCTCTTTTCGGTATAAACTCAGCATGTGAGCGAACCTTTTCTCGTCAGTCTGATTTGGCTTCTGTTTTTCTCTCATCACTGACTGAATTCACGCATTAATTGTGCCGCCGATCAATCTGCTAAAGATCGTCATCGTTGTCGAACAGGAAGGAAATAATTAAGCTTCACTTTATTTAATGATGCAGGTGTTTAGCATTGATTCAGAAACTTCAGAAGAAAAAGAAGGAAACCATGACTGTCCAAACAATGTGAAAACAGGGTGGATTCGATCACGCGTGCTCGAATTGCTCCTTCACATGCAGATTTTACACCAATGAAGAATGGATGCAAAGAGGTGGTTAAAATGATTATCCTTTCTAGTGAGAAATCAGAAATTTTTGTGACGAGAGAAAATGGAAAAAGCCATGCCATTTCCGGATTTGTGTTGGTGAAGAAGGAAGTGATTGTTCTTCAGAGTTAAGCGGGTGGTTTGCACTTTGCAGTTGCTCTTTTTTTTAAAAAAAATCTGGTTAATTTCAGGATTGAAATAGTACAATAAACACATACCAATTTTCAACTTTTTTTTTCAGCCCGGCGAAAAAAATTTATAGCCCCACGAAAATTTTCAACTTTGTAAAACATTTTCTTCCCTTTTACTACAAGGTTGAAAATAGTTAAAATACGTTGTAAAAGGGAAGAAATATTTTATACACTTATCCAATTCGTCAGGACTTGAACCTCCATAAAAAAAAAACCCGCCTTTGGCTAGGGAGCAATTTTAGGTACCAAATGTTAGATGGTAAAATTGCTCTTGGCTAGGTCTTTTTTGCTCAACCTCCAATCTAACATCCGCCGCTGAAAAGGCATCCCACAGTTCTGGTTCTTCATATTTGTAGAAAAGTTCAGGGTTTTCTTTTAAACTTTTAAGCAGCATGTGCTGATCGTTAGTTGTTGTTCTTGTCTTTCTTGGCGAGAAATTATCTCTTAGTAGTTGCAGAAATTGAGGGTGAAATGTATTTTTAGACTTCTTGGTATTCAGAATTCAGTGTGTTTGTTGATGTTCGGTTATAATTGTTCTATGAAGATTTTTCAACTAAAATTTGAAGATCCTTTTGTGTTCTTCAATCTACATCATGTTATGATTGACTGATGTCTGATGATCAATCTTACTTGAAATGGCAAAGGAACCGGGGAAGACGAAGAATCCGAGCCATGGGCAACTCATGTTTTTGTGATAAGGTTGTTGTCAAGATGTTAATTCGAAGTTAAAATTCATTTATTTCACTGATCAACTTTGTATTCTTTATTTGGAAATACAACATGCATGCATCTACATTTGCTCATGGAGACTCTTCTGGCTCATATCGGTTGTTAGTTATAAATGCTGTGATATGTTTACTCTTGTGCTAATTTCAGCTAATGCTATGCTGGAGTACATCAACAAACCAACTTTCAAGTAATTACTTGAGGAGATTTACCAGTCAGCTCTCACATTTTTCTCCTGTGGGTACTAGTAATATGCCCGTGCTAAACGCTACGGTGCAACTCTATTTGTCTATAATAATTTTTAAAATTTTCATGTTTCGTAAAAAAAATATTATTATATGAACTGTGCATTTGAGTTTTAATTCAATTTATGTCATGCATCAAATATATTGCAAGTAAAATATAATAATAGGATATACCAATATATTTATACCCCATGTCATAATGCATAATAATATGATATTAAAGATATATGATAATGCATATATATGTGCCTTAAGATATATGATAAACGTGACAGATCAAAGGCACTTAGGTTGAGTATTGCATATAAGTATTTATCATGGGTATTTTAGTTGTTAATGGGCCATTACAGGATTTGGGCCATACACATAAGTTTGACATCTAGCAGTCCTTTACTCCTTTATCGTGACTGAATAGGCAACATAATAGCAAATTAGCAATACTGGTTTCTTATGTTAATTATATTTGCTTTTTTTTATACGCTTTCATGTTCACAAATCAATATTCATGTGATTGGTCAGCTCTTTAAATTAATGGAGCCTTGAAGCAAATAAAATATGTTTGATCTAAAGCAAAAGAATTACAGAAATCAATAGTGCTACACATGACTAAATATCCAACACATGACTAAATATCCAACGTCAGGAAATTGGTGTGTGATGTGTCTCCTTATATAAAAAGACATGGAAAACAAATATAAAGGGACATTACTATTCATCCAACCGTGCCAAACAAATACAAAGTAGTTCAACAGGAGGTAGAGCACATTTGTATAGGTCCCAGAAATCAACTGAATCACAAGCAATATTGAATAGGCATCATAACAAAGTTTCATCAAATTTGGTTGCATTTCACAAGCAGTACTTAATGGACCTGAACGACATTGTGTACTGAATTTTCTTGTGTAATTCACAAGAAATGTTATTTTATTGTAAGGCCAAAACACAGTAGCGACAATACTAAATCATGGTTCCTTCTCGGTTGCTTCATCGGAGACGTCGTCATTGCAGATCTTCATTGTTATCTCGATGGGAGAAGACCAGCGAGGATCATACCCTTCTCCCACCTTCCTTTTCTCATCGCGTCCTTCTTCTACCTTCTTGGACTTGAAGTCTTCCATGGAACTCTCAACATGCCGGCAGCCATCACGTATGTACTGAAACATCATCATGATGGCATTCGCGTGGCCCATGTAATAATTCCCCTTGTTTGGTGTTTGCCCTGACGAAGGCTGCACCTTCGCATCATCCTTGAAGTTCATTGACTCCTTAGGTGTGGCTTGATGTGGTGAAAAATCCACATCATACATGGATGCCATGCCTTACTACAATACAGAAGAAGTAGGAGATCAATAGGTGCAAACTAAAGTATATAATAATTTCCAACACAAAAGAGATAGATTGGAGAACGATACCAAGATGATGAGTTGAAGTTGAGCAGTCGTATGCAGCCGGCTAAGGAGGATCAGTAATTTTTTTTGGATCACACTCCTTCACCCACATATATATATAGGCTAAGGAGGATAATGTTACCATTGTTGTTATCATGATATTTATGGTTTATGGAAAGACATAACAATATTGCCTTGTATGTCTTGTGAGTTGACATGTATGGGCATGTAATACATGGAAATATTGCCATAATAGCAGCTGACAGAGATTTGGATATGATTTGCTAACCTTTACTCTCATCTGCTGCAGGATAGCGTAATTGACAGAGATTTGGATATGATTTGCCAATAATATCCCAAGCTTGCTGCTACGACTGCCGCTCACAACCATCAACTTGAAATTCCAAACTCCTAAAAACCAAAATCTATAGAGTTCATTTTTTCGATTGCCAGGTTTCTGAAATTTTAATCTCTACTCCTGTAAGTCGGTACCAGTAACACCAAGTTGAAATCATGATTATCTGCAACAAGGCCGGAAAACAACCAAAGTTTTGTATTGATGCTTCAGTAATTTTTCTGCTCTATATGAAAAAATAAATATGGTTCAGACTATTTATCATTTTTTCACCAGTACATGACATAGCGGATACACAATCTTATAGTGGCCTTCCATGTGGGGTCTACGTAGAGATAGTAGGAGTGTGTGTGTGTGTGTGTGCGCGCGCGCGCGTTATTTGATCGTAAAGATAATACATGATCACAGACCCAAGATCCACAAACTAAAGAGATAATACATGATCACAATTTAGTAAAGCAGTCCCTTTTAACAACATCGTTTTAGAGTAACTTTGATACCTTGAATAACTGGAGTGAAGTAGTCACCAGCAGAGCAGGAGTCCTCAAATATTAGATCCTTCAATCAGATTTTTTCTGATTCATGCAACACTGTAAACGTAGGATACAGGGAAAATTTAATAAATGATCTGTGAAAGAAGATAAGTGCCGAATGGTTAAGAGATCAAATTTCACCCGGATGGAAAAATATATTACTTTTATTGATATGGCATGAAAAGAAAATAAGAAGCCGTCTATGGAGAGCAGCCACGCTATCAATCACCAACAAAAAAAAGATCTATAAAAAATAAATTAGTGTACTGCATTGCACACAGTAAGTTGCCATTTTATCATAGGCGACGTATTTTTCACTTTGTTCAGAAAAAATAGGAACTACATGAACAATCTATTTAAATCCATGGTTGTGGAAGTGCAGCAGGTTAGGCTCGTAAAAAGTGGTTAACTCAAATACCAACACTCTTCAGTTATTTGCCCTAGAGAAAGAAAAATAGGTTCATCTATCTTCTGTAGAATATAGCCATTTATATGAACTGAACGACATAAGAATTTAGAGTCAATTGCAAGAAAAACAAATGGTACTGCATATACCATCAACTTCTTAGATCCCAGATCGATTAGGATAACCGGGCTTTAACAGGGAAGCATATATGTGAAATCAAAATGTTGATCTGTCAATATACTTGTTCACAATGTGATGTGCATGTCACACTGTGAAATCAAAATCATTAATGCATGACTACACTGTGGTGTGCATGTGAAATTGAGCAAAATTGCAGTATTACATTTGGAACAGGGTTAAGCTTTTACAAGAAAAAGATTTGGTCAATCCCTCGAAGAAAATATGGTTGGCACAGTAATCAGGGCATTTTTTTTTCTTGATTTGCAAACCGGATGCAGGCAATTTTAAACATCAGATTCTACAACAGTGCGAAGATTGACCCACGGAGTATATATTTGCACTATTTGTAAGGGGTAATCATTATGAAAGAAATTACCTATACCAAACAGAAATTTAGTAGAATCAGCCAAAAATTTCCTTGATTGTGCAGCAAACAATAGCAGTTGACATGGTGTCCTGTCAGCCTGAATTTTTCTTCGACAACCTGAATTTTTGTCCTATAGATTAAATCATTTGAAATGAAAGGTTAAGTCAGTTTGCTAGATAGAAGCAATCACATAGAAAAATTGACACAAAAGAATTATCTGAGGCGGGCCATTTCTTCCCCACAATTTTACAGTGAAAGATTGACGATAAATGTTAACAAGATGTGAAGTATCTCATCCAATGACAGCAATGAAACCCAAAAAAAAAAAAATCGTACCACACGAATGAGATTAACATGTGAAATTTAGTTGAAATGCAAAACAGGCTTTGGATTAGAGTTTTGCATCACAGATATCCATGCACAGTGAACAATGTTTAATAATGAACAATGGGGATTTAGTCAACAAAGGGGATTTCTAAAGCCATTATGCATCTCTATGAATAAACGATACCCTGCCCCGTATGCCTCCTCATGTACAGGAACGGGATCGAGAAGCACTCTTACCTTGTTCGCAGGCAGGATGACGGCTTGCAGGGTTGAGGAGCCCTGGATCAGTGGCGGCGCGAGGGACCGAAGCCGGTTCGCCTTCGAGGTCGGGACGGTGATGGAGCGACACAGCGACGGCGCCGACGGGGCTGCGGGCTGCGGCGACGTGGAGCGTCGTTGGAGGGCAGGCCCGACCTCGCCTCCTCCAGCCGTCACGCGGAATCTGCCATCGATGGAGGGCAGGCCCAACATCGCCTCCTCCAGCCGTCGCGCGGAATCACGCCCCTATGGCGGAAACAGACGGTGATGCGGCTGCGGCGGCGTGGATCGGGGCTGGAGGGCAGGCCCGACCTCACCTCCTCCAGCCGTCACGCGGAGTCCGCCATCGATGGAGGGCAGGCCCGACCTCGCCTCCTCCAGCCGTCGCGCGGAATCACGCCCCCATGGCGGAAATAGACGGTGATGCGGCTGCGGCGGCGTGGATCGGGGCTGGAGCGGCGACGTTGGAGTCCGGGGGCGTGGTGGAAGGGCGAGACAGTGCGGCGCAGCGCGGTGCGACGGTCGACGGGGGCTGGCGGTGGCAGTGACGACGGTTAGGGTTGGGAATCGCGGGGGTGAGGAGATGCGAGTGGCGGCGGCGCGAGACTGACCTACGGGGAGACGCTGGCGAGGGCGAGCCGGTGGAGCGACGGCGGCGATGGGGATCGGTTGAGGCAAGCCGGCGGCGGGGATCGGTGGCGACGAGGAGCAGATCTGCACGGAAGGTCTCGGCAGCGACCACGCGAGGAAGGCATCGGCGGCGACGTGAATCGGTGGCGGCGAGACGACGGATGCGACGACGGCAGAGTGGCGGTAGTCGAGGGCGGCGGCGACGGCGGTGGCGCGGGGATCGGTGGCGGCGAGACGACGGATGCGACGACGGCGGAGCGGCGGCAGTCGAAGGCGGCGGCGACGACGGTGGTGCCGCGTGAGAGGAGAGATGAGGGCGTAGGTCGTGGTTGGCGAGGGGCGGCAGCGCGTGAGAGCGATAGAGAGGGGGCGGAGAGGAGCGCGCAATCGAGGGAGGTGGGAGGTGGGAGCAATCTCAATCGTTGAGATTTCAGAGAGGCAATCTGGACCGTTGAGTGATGAGTGAGGAATGAAAGAATGAGTGATAAGTGATGAGTGAAAGTATTTGTTGAAATATAGGGTAGAGTAAAATAAATAATAAATATAATATAATATATATAGATAGATAAATAGATAAATGGTATGTATCATAGTAGCCAGTTTGAGAAACACATTATATCAAGGTGATTCTATTGCCCTGAGAACACTTCCGGTCTCTACATAGCTAAGATGCAAAAACCAACACACACCAAAAGAAAGAGATTACAAGGAGTATTAAAGACCATTAATTCTGAGACTAGATCATTATTCATATTCCCGGGTAAAATACTCATAGACCACTTTGAGTTTGTTTCATGATTCTACCCTGCTACACTTCAAAGAATAACCAACCAATAGGCCGGTTTGGAATGCATTGGGAGTAGGGACGGGGAATGAAGGATCATCCCCACCCCACGAAAACCGATGGCGACATGTCTCCTCCCATTTAATTCCCATGGTGAACCAATTCTAATTATCCCCGTCCCCTAATGGGTGAATTCACCGTGGAGAAACGGTGAATGGGGCACCACTGCCATCTCTAGGACTATCATAGAAAAAAAAACTCAAATTCCGCATATATTTGTGTGTGTGTGTGGGGTGTTGTTGGGGGGAGAAGGGAGAAGCGAGGAGAGGAGAGAGATAAGGGAGAGAGAAGGCCCCACATGTCAGTAGATCCCACATATATTTTTTGTGAACGACAAATGGGGTCCCACACACATTTTTTAATTCTAATGCCACCTAAGCGCCACGTCAACGCCAAGTGGAACGAAGACTAGGTCAATACAACCACGTAGGCGCCACGTCAGCGAAACCGCCCTCCAAAACCACCGAGGAAGCCAAATTGCACCGTTTTTAATAGTTTAGGGGGTCGAGATATCATGTGCTGTGGTTCAGGGATGCAAATCAGATTCGGTCACTAGTTAAGGGAGTCAAAGTAAACTTATTAAGTTATTCCCCACGTACGACGTCCTTCGCCCAAAGGCCCATCCTTATTCCCTACGGGCTACTGCACCTATCATGGAATAAGTCCACTTTGACTCCCTTAAAAGTGACTCGAATCTAATTCATGACCCTGAACCACAAAACCAGATATCTTGACTTCCTCAACTGTTAAAACCAGTGCAACTTGACTCCTTCAGCGATTTTGAAGAGCGGTTTTGCTGACGTGGCGTCTACGTGGCAGTGTTGCCTGGTATACTGTTGACGTGGCGCTTAGGTGGCATCAGAACTAAAAACATATATGTGGGACCCATTCGTCATTCGCGCAAAAAAAAAAGTGGGGCCCACTGTGGGTCTATCTCTTCTTCCTCCTCCATCATCTTCTGCACGATGCAGTAGAGGTTATTCATGAGGAAGATGTTCTGCAGCCCGGTGTGGTCGTAGAGCCTGGATTTCTCATCCGGCTTGCGGAGGAGGTGAGTGAGGAGCTCCCGCATGCACCGCCCTGACGATGAGGCGCCGCCACCGTCGTGGTGGTCATCGTTGGTGTTGTTGTTGTCGGCGAGGACCATGTCGAGCGTGGTGCGGCACTCAGCGAGGAGACCACAGTAGTTGAGCACGTAGCGTGTCATGGGGTGGATCTTGCCTCCATGGACTGGTCGCCGCGACGACTCGCCGTGGATGACGTTGACGAACTGGTCGATCGTCATCGTGTGGCGGATGGTGTTGCCCAGCTGCGCCACGACGCCGGTGACCTCGGAGGAGAATAAGTCGCGGACGTCTCCGGTGAAGAGGGATTCGATGTCCGGCTCGACGGCGGTGAGTGCCTCGTACATGCCGAGCATGCGGTAGAGCTTCTCCGTCGCCGGTGTGGACATGGCGACGGCGTCCGCGAAGCCGATGAGCTGCAGGAGGCATCTCCTGGCGACATCGGCGAACCACTCGTGGCCGAGCTCCTCGTCGGAGGCTAACAGCTCGTCGCAGAGGTGACGCTCGCCGGCGAGGAGGGTCTTGACCACGGCTCTGACGCGCGTCGCTCCACCGCCGCATACTCTGGTCGAGCACCCAACCCCCCCCCCCCCCTCACACACACACACACACTCCATCGTGAGCACCCTCCTCGATGGCGACGGCCGGTGCGCCACGGACTCCGCGAGGGCGAAGGAGCCTACGGTGCCGGGGGAGGGGAGCCAGAGCTCGAGGGAGCCGTCGGCGCTCGCGGCCTCGAGGCGACGCTATGTCGGCCTCCCCTCCCACCAGCGCCGCCGCCGCCACCGCTCGTCTTCGTGGTCATGGCGGCGTCCGGTGCACCGTCGCCGTGACGCGGTTCGTCGTTGGTGCACGTCGCGGTGTTCTCCGACGGCTGCGATGAGGGCGGCCCGGCGGAGCTCGGCGACCACCGTGGCGGCGAGTCGTCCGGTCGCCGAGCAAATGGCTGTGTCGGCGAGGTGGCTGTCGCGGAGGTCGAGGCCGACGATGCGGAGCGGGAGAAAAAAGCGCCGCCTGCGGCGGTGTCGGCGAGGTGGCCACCGTACCCGGTGCCGTGAGGTGTGGCCGCGGCGGCGCCATCGTTACAAATCCGCATCTGCATCGGTTGCTGTTAGACAGCATGGGAAAAAGAGAGGAGATAGAAAAAATGTTACGCTGACGTGTGGGTCCCACATGCTGAGTCAGCTAGTTTGACTAGGTCAAGCGCCACATCAACAAAACCGCTCTCTAAAACCGCTTGAGGGAATCAAATTACACCGGTTTTAACAATTGAGGAGGTCAGGATATCTGGTTTTGTAGTTTAAGGCCACGGATTAGATTCGGGTTGCTTTTAAGGGAGTCAAAGTGGACTTATTCCCACCTATCATGCACGCGGCATCTGTTCGGCCGGCCCAACCGTCTCGCCGCCCGTCTCCGGCGGCCGCACGTTGGCATTTACCGCGCGCGGTGGCGCCGGCCGGTGCGCCCATCTCGTACGGTGCGACGTGCGTGCGGCCCAGCTTTAGGTGCACCAGAAAAAGGGGCGACCCCATCGGTCGGGTCGGGTTGGTTGGCGCCTCACCTCGCCGCGCCAACCACCGCGACGCGTTCCATCAAAAAGCCGCAGGCGCGCACAGCCCACGCGCGACTTTGCAAAGCCCACGACGGGGAGCGGGAGCGGGAGCGCGAGGGAGATGGGCTCGACGAACAGCCCGGTGGTGGTGGTGGTGCCGGACCCCGTGGTGGTGGGGGTGGGGCTCCACCACCCGCACCCGGCCGCCGCGCTGATCTCCCGCCGCGTCGCCATGGCGCGGGACTACGCCGCCGCCGCCGCCGTCCTCCGCCCGCCGTGGCTCCTCGACCTCCTCCCCTTCCTCATCGTCCTCCTCATCGCCGCCCACGTCCTCGCCCTCGTACGCACGCGCCTCTCCCTACCCCTCCTGCCGTGGATTCGGCCTAAAAATCCCTCTCTCCTTCTCCCCCGCAGGGCTACTGGATCTACAGGCTCGCCACCGACGGCTCAAGGCAGCCCGCGCGGAGCAAGAAGCACTAGCCGCCCCCGCCCCAGGATGTAAGCTCCTCCAATTCCTCCTCTTCCCCTTTTTTCCCCAATTCTCTCATCCAAATTTACCCTTGTACGGTCACGTTGCGAATGATAGCCAGTTGCAAGAACTGTTACTAACTAGGAGTAGTCTGGATGTGCGAGGACAGTCTGAATATGTCTAGTTGAAATCTCGCTGAATTTGTGGGCTATCAATATCATGAAGGTGCACGAATTGCAAAAAAATGTACAACTGCTACTAATAATTTACCCGTGCACTGTGGCGCTGTGACTCTGTGAGGAGATAGACTGATAGACAATCCTCGAGAGAACAGGTTGCTAGCCTGGTCCTTGATGTGCGAGGACCGATTGTCTGAATGTCCTGTTACGCGGGTGATTCGCACGAAATCTGCATAATTTTAGCTTCTTGGAAGGTTCATGAAATGCTAAATTGTTACTCCTTTTTTTCCGGTGAATCAATCACAATTTGCACATTTTGGTCTGGTTTCTCTTGTTGGTCTAAGCGCTGCTTCGATTTTCTCTTTTAGTGTACTGACCTGTAGGGCAGCTTATGAATAGAAATTTCTTACCTGACAATATATGGGGATCCTTTTAGATTAGGTATTGCATATTGGATAATGATGTGTTTTGGCTGGATATGTTTGGTGGATTAGGATTGATTTCTCCAATAATACTTCTAATATTTAGTCTCTGGTCCTTATTAATTCTGAGTATCCACCACGTATTATCATCGAACACTTTATGCTTTATGATTGTTAACAACTTTACTTCATGAAAACCTGATTTCTTTGATCTATGGATTCTATGCTGCCGCTGAACTCTGCATGAACCATGGTACATTCGAACCTGGTGTACTCATAATTCTTAATGTTGATGTCAATGAACCACAAAATTTTGTAAAGAGTAATTAAACATATCTGTGTAGACTCATTTTCTGAATTAGATGAATTAGCTCTTTCAGAGCTTCTCTCCTACCCACCTATTCGTTATTCTTGTGGGTGCTACTTGTGCCTCTTGTACCCTGAATGGTGGTTGGAAGTTTTAAAACTAAGCACTAGTTTGATGCTTATGCTATCAAGGTTTCAGTAAAGCTTTATTGGCTCACATTTATTGAACTATGGGGTGGTAGCAACTAACAGCAAATTTTGAATGTGTTTCTGTTTGTAGTTGTATTACATTCATTTTACACCCTGTTCATGTTGTTATTCTCTGCTCCATCATGTGCTTTCGGTACTTTTACCACTGAACATAAGTTTCAAGCCTTCTTGTGCTGTTCATACTTCATGCCTTTAATAACCATTTGCTGAAGCTTAATATTTGACAAAGAAAATTTTTGACTCAACAAAATCTAATTTATAAGCTCTGTAGCAGATCTGAATCTCACATATTTTTCCAAACTTAACCGTGAGGTGTAACTAGAGTTAAGGCTTCCAACACGTATCTATTTATCATGCCACCACAACTCCAAAACTGACCATCTTTTGTTTCTTAAGCTGACATTGACAAAAGAAAAGGAAGGACAATACCATTCATTAGCCTGTATAATATTTAAATAGTTAGGTTTAAATGATGGCAATAACATAGATTTTGTCCTCAACAAAGCTTTCTAAAAAAACAAGATGAGGTGTCTAAAGCATTGGCAGCTTGTGAGCTATATTTTATTTATGATGAGCAAGAATAACCTGAAGGGATATCTTGCCATATTTATTCACTGGACATTTATCAAGAAGATGACTGTTTCTGAATTCTAATGAACTGAAAACTGATGATAAAGGTTTGTTTATTCTGTCCATATAATATATCTTTTTTCTAAGGCAGCAGCGAAGGGGGGAAACATTTGCTGCAAATACCATTCTACCACGATTTATTATGTTCCCTTCTTTCGTTGAGGGCAATGAGTACTGACTGTTTTTATATATAAGTAGGACTTTAATTTCAACTAGTTTATGTCCTTTATCAAAGGCATATAGTGTTTTTGGCCACACTATTATGATATTGTCTAACCCAGGCAGGCGCCCTGCGCAATGGCAGTGCCCAACACCGAGCCAATGTTCAGGCCCATACTTGGTACAGACGCAGTCGACAGCAACCATAGCTATTGACTTTTTAATATATTACGTTATCTCTGTGTAGTTTGTTAATCGATCTATATCACAAATGCATTTCTTCTTAGTACTGCTTCGATTCTCCCATTGCTCCAGTGCAACAGAGAGATAACAGTTTAATTGCCACCTGTTGATTTTTAGATTTTCTCACCTTTGCAGTTGCAGTAGATATGTCACAAAGAATTCTCTCATGTCATTATATGTTTAGTGATCTTACTAAGATATAACTAGAAAAATCAATAGTCAAAGGTGTGTATTGGATACCATACCAATGTCTCGAAAATAGAAAGTAAAAAAAAAAAAAAAACTCTTAGATAAGGTGCCTGTGCTATGGCTTACTCTTTTCCCCTTTTCTGGTTAATATTATGCTCACCTTATGGCGGAAGTATCATCTCTTTCACTTCATTTCGTCTGTTGCACAGAATAGCATTTATCAAAGCAAAACCACAAACTGAAATTTTGAGTGGCCTCAAAGTCCCCCATAGTAATGTTCAAATGTCATGAACAGGTTGTTTGATACTTGTAATCAACTGAATTCATCCATTTTGTTGCAGGTTTCCTGGTAATGTTTTCCATTTGGATCTGGCGTCCTCTGCTTGTTGATCTCCAAGGTTTCCAATGCGAAGTGATAGCGTGGAGAACCCATGAAAGGACTAGAAACGGAACCAGTCTTCCAGTGATTTTTGTTCAGATGTTGGTTTCAAAAGTGACGTTAGCTGAATACCCCCGTGTGAAAAGAAGACCTTGTGATCATAAATAGGTACTTAGTTGTTGAAAAGGTTTGTCATTAGTTGATCTTTCATGTAAAGACCAGTAGCAGGTAGACAGGTGTTGTCATGTCTATCTGATTGTGCGTGTACATCTTGAGCAACTTTTTCTTTGCTCGACTCAGATACAGGCGAAGCTTCAGGCTCCACCATGCTTCTTTCTATCTGTCTGAAGAACGCAATACCAATAAGTAACTGAAGATTCCACATGAGCCATGCCATTGCAACCTGCTCGCCATGGCTATTTTGCAGCCCAGATCAGCACACATTTACCAGATGTTTCTAATGGGATTGGAAGTGTTTCTTATCTGAACCAAAGTGTCGGCATTACACTTGCTAGACTTTTTCAGCCCCAGCACATATCCAACTCAAAAAAGAGAAGAAAAAAAAAGACTAAAGAATTTAAGATTTAAGGACATCCGAAAGAGCACAGACAAAAGCATATGCACTATATGCATGTATATATATTTTTGCAAAAGCAAAGATCTCACACAAAAGGCGTGAGAACAAGGCGTACCAAACAGTCCACATGTTCCTTTCTCATCAGGCTTCTCTTTGCGTTTCCTGCTCAAAAGTATGGTCACTATGTGGCTTTTTTTTCTCATGGGGCGGCATGAACAAAATGGTACAGAACAACACAAAGCAGATGATGCTTCTGATCTTCAGAAGAATGACAAAGAGAATGAGAATATCATGCTTTCAGCTGTCCGATCTCCCGTATGAATAATATCAAAAACGAACCAAAGCAGAGAGGGGATTCTCACAGCACATATGTATGTATGACATTCAGAATCAATGTCTTTTTGCTCATCAAAGCTAGGGCCAAACTAATCACAACCACACTGGCCCCCCAAAGAGAGTACGAGACTGCTCTGTTGTGAGTCATGAGATACTAATCAATTGATACATGATATGTTCACATCAAGATATGGGCAGGAAGAACAATGAGGTGTCACCATTCAGCTAGCGGCAGATGATGCAGAGAACCACCGCGACGATTATGATCAGGATGAGGAGCGGCAGCGAGATGATCAACACGAACTCCATTGTTCAGCTCTCCCTGCAATTCAAACCAAAATTGATAAATTCCTTCTTCGTCACTTCTAGGCAGTACCAAAATACTTCTCTAGAAAAAGAAAAGCAGCAAAATGCTGTCATGATTTTTTTTTCTGTACTTATGTGTTCTGAAACATGCGGTATATGGGTGCTCCAACCATAGGCTTGCGATTTGCAAAATTGTATAGCACGATGAATTTAGTCGCATATAATTTTTCTTGAGAAAACATATCAATGGGTGAAGTAACTGTAAATATGATGTGATTGAGCGAAAAAGGCAGGAGCTCTACCTCATGAATTAAAGGGACGAAAACAAGTTAGGGTACAGAGCAAGAGAGGGGATGGAAAGCTTCCTCACACACCTCACACTCGTGGCAGCGAAACCGCACGAAACAGGGGAGGAGGAGGAGGAGATATCGCTACGCGATTACAAGAAAGTCGCACTCGCACATCATAATCTATCAAATCAACATTTGTTCTTTGGAATCAATGCGAGTGAGGAGATAAACCTCACCGAATTTCTCAAGGATTGCTTAACTTCTAACGCGTAAAACTGAATTTCTTTTGCTGTTGTTTGAAGCATTCGGAATTCCGGTTATTTCATAAAAAAGAGATCAATTTCCGACAGAAATCGTTGCCTCTCGGATTCAGCTAAGATCAGAGTAGTAGCATCGTCATCTTTTCATCAGCTAAATGTACAGCTAAACACTACAGTAGCTGCTTGTGCTGCTGGAGTGTCTGCCCATGTTACAAGTACTAGTACTAGTTGGCAACAGTTGGATCCGATTCCAATTAGATAACACTACTAACCCACATCTCACTCTTGACTGTTACTATTAGATGACTCCACAAGTCAACAGATGAATCTTGAACCTTGCTCTACTACAAACAATTTTATTGGAAGCTACAGTTGATGGTTTCTCAACCACTCCATTTCCTACATAAATCCAGTAGCCATTAATGCCTCTCTCTCTCTCTTTTTCTTAGAGAAAAAAAAATCGCAGAGCAAGCAAGCATGAGTAGCCTCAAACTCTCAAATGTCAAATCTACTAGAGCTAATTAATTGACTATATAGTAGTAAAAGCTATCTTGAACAGTTAAACAGATGATCAATCAATAGATCTGGAAAAAACTCATCCACCCGATGAAATGAAAAGGTGCAGTACTAGCACTACTACATCAGTACAGCCGCAGCTAATCTTGATTTAATTAGCTAGGACAGATGCAGCAACGACAGAGAGCTCTACAGCGTTGATGGTGCCATGGCGAGTTAGCAGCTGCAGAGCAGCTCGCCCGCCTGAAACCAGCAGCAAAAGTATTACCGGGAACGATTTGGGGGGAGCTAGCGCGAGCTATATGGCGGCGTGAATCCAAAAGGCTGGATCGATTGACGCTTAGCTCTGACACTAGAGGGCGTAAGGACCGTACTAGTAGTGGTAATAGTAGGTACCTGCAGCGAATCGATCGATCGGCAGATGAGATGAGATGAGATGCTCGTCTTCTTGTTCGGGCTGCAGCTGGGTGGTGGTGCAGATGCAGAGCAGAGCTTAGTCCTGACGATGACGGCGATGGCGATGCATGTGTGGGAGAGAGGCGAAGCCGCGAAGGCGAAGGAGGAGGCGGAAATGGGGCGGGTTCCGGGAATCGGGTGGTGGTGGGGGTGCGAGCCTAGGGGGAAGAGGCCAAAAGCCCAGAAAAACCGCGTGCCACGTGCCGGCCGGTGCTGCCTGCAGCTAGGCGTACACACAGCACAGGAGCTGTACTGTGCACGGTATGTGCTCTTCTTCCGTTGGGATCATCTTCTCACGCACTCACCATGGACAGACTACCGCACGCTTGGAATCGATGCCTTTCGTGTTAGAGCTGCGTTCGGTTGGTAGTGGTGTGAACTAATCTTTCATACATATAAGGATAGATTGACTCATCAATATATGATTAATTAAGTATTAGTTTTTTTAATAAAAAATAGGTTAATACGATTTTCTAAAGTAACTTTCGCATAGAAATTTTGAAAAAAAAAGATATTGATCAGTAGTTTGGAAAGCATATACACGTGAAAAATAAGAGAGTAGAGTTGGAAACCTTAGCAAAAGAACTCATCAGTAACCAACAGAAAAACGAAGAAGAAGAAGAAGAAAAAGAAGAAGAAGAAGAAGAAATGGACAAATGTATAGGCAGCCTGGATTGGGAGCACACTAGTCACAACGACTCACACCATACCAGGCCAAAGAAGGAACAAGAAGCCATGTGTTCTCTAGTACTCCCTCTGTATTTTAATTTTAATGTATGACACCATTAATTTTTTAATAAACGTTTAACATTTTGTCTTATTTAAAAAACTTATGTAATTATCATTTATTTTATTGTGACTTGATTTATCATCAAATGTTCTTTAAACATGACATAAATATTCTTGTATTTGTATAAAAAATTTGAATAAGACGAATGGTCAAACGTTGGTTAAAAAGTCAATGGTGTCATACATTAAAATATGAAGGGAGTAATTCTTTCTGTCGTCAATCACCGTGCCCAACAACAACGGGCGGCAAAATGATCACATTTGATGCACCACATACTGACATACTACATGTATGCAAAATGATCGCGGAGGCAGGAAGGAATCAGCTAAGCTAGCGGCAGATGACGCAGAGGACGATGGCGACGATTATGATGAGCGCCAGCAGCGGCAGCGATATCACCAGCACCAGCTCCATGATAAATTAATTAAGGATGATCGATATGAGATCGATCTACTTAATTTGCTTCAACAAATCTCGCTCGCTGCTCCGACTCCGATCCTCTCACGTACTACACGGCGCAATACACAGCCCTGCAAACAACAATTAAATTGAATAGAATTAAATTAAACCCATCTCAACCAAATCAGCAACCAGCGATACATGCATATACATATATGTCAGTTCCAGCTTAGGGCATGTACAATGGTGGTTAATAACGAGCTCTTTTCGTTGTCATGCAAATAAATTTGATGACGTGGAAGAAAAAGAGGGAAGAAAAGAGAAATATCGCTGTTACGCATGACAACGGATTAGAGTCGACTCTTATTATTTATTAACGGAAAATTTATTGCAATGAGGATAGAGAAAAGGAAAGAAGTATAATAAAAAATTATTTAGTGTATTAATGGTTTAGAAATCTTATTGTCTTTACTACTGTAGGAGGATAGTCTCTAATAATATTAATTAATATAGATAGCTCGTATTAGACTCTACCTTTGTAGATGCCCTTAGGGTGTATTTAGTTCACATCAAAATTGGAAGTTTTGTTAAAATTGAAACGATGTGATGGAAAAGTTAGAAGTTTGTGTGTAGAAAAGTTTTGATGTGATGGAAAAGTTGAAAGTTTGAAGAAAAACTTCAAATCTAAACTTGGGCTTAATTCAGTATGTGCTAAACTGAATCTCTCAACTCGAGTAGTAGTAGGACTATATTTGTACAGACTACAGAGCACATGGGCTGAGTGAGAGAAGGCTACTTGCAATAAACACAAAAATTGATATAGGGCTTGTTTGAATCAATCTTGGCACTACTAAAATGATGCTACCTAATTTGTTGAATGACATATATGTGAAACGTACACCATGTGTTGCACGTACCTGATCGATCGATCGATCGATCTGACGAAACGGAGAGATCGGTCGAGGAGCCGCGCTGAATCGCTCGCCGATCGACTTAATTGAGTACTAATGAGAGCGATTTAGGTAGGTGGAGGCGTGGAGCAAAGCAAGTGAAATGGCTGTGTGCAGGATGGAAATGGGGGCGGTGTGTGTGCGGGGGTTAAGTAGCGGAAGACGATCGACGAGCGAGGAGAACCTGATTCTGATCTGGCAGCGAAAACTACTCGTACCGATCGCCGCCTGGCACGCAGACGCAGACGCAGGTGGCTGAGCTTTTTTTTTTTTTTTTGCCGGGGGGGGGGGGGGGGTGGGGGTTGTGGTGTCATCGTGTGGTGCGATCGAGGGATCGTTCGACCGTGTTCCACGTACGTACGGCGCGTAATTGGTCGGTCGGTTATGGATCGAGGGAGACAGATCGATCGACGTCGCTCGCGGTCGAGTCAATTACTACGCTTTATGCGCTTCGGTTCTTCACACGCTAAGTTAAATTAACTTGCCGGCTAGCTTTCGTTCCATTTACGTCTACCGCATAGTATGCGCGAAAAAAACCTACGCTACCAATAATCGAAAAAAAAATAATGGTGGAGCCCAAAGCATCCATCGATAAAGAGTTTGTTGTAAAGCGACGCAGAGATCATGACTTGGTGAGACAAGTGTTATCATTGGCGAGCTTGTCGCCTAGCGACACAACAGCTCCAACTCCATAGCTAACACACCGTTATTACCAAAGGCATCGCCAAAACAAATAAAGCAATACCGACGCCCGCTTTGGACCTCAGCCCAAGCTGCCAAACACCACTTCTTGCACAACAGCTAACACCCACCCCTGGAAGACTACAACATGTTATCGCAACCAAGCTTCATCGCATCACAACGAAGCAGCTCTGGCTTCACCTAGCAGAAACAAAGAATGTTGGACGCTCGCCATATCCAATAATGGAGCCTAGAATGTGAAGGCCTCACCGAACAGATAGGCCTATAGAGTTTCGACACAGAAGTCTACCAACGACCATGATACGGGCAGGAAGATTGACGGTGAGGGAGAAAAGACGCCATAATGACGCCTCCAAGGAGGGAAACGATGCCTAAGGGCGCCGCCGTAGTCGAGCCAACCAAAGGCCAATCGAGGCTTTCGCCAATGATTTTCATCCAAAACCACACAACCAACCCATACAATGTACATCGTCGGACCATCGGACCGTCTCTCTAGCCACCATGCCTAGCCCACCACCCCACAACTCAGGCAGGCCCATGAGGCCACCGACCCACCATGCTGCGCGTCATCCTCTGCTATACAAAGCTTGCGCCTCCACCCTCCCCCAAAAGCTCCCCACAGCCAGAACGGAATCTAGCCATAGGATGGGAGGAGCTCCACCGAAAGGATATTGGTCGGCCGGCAACCGAGAAGAAAGCGTCACCGCCACCAGCCGCTTACTCGCTCACGTCGCCAGCTGTTGAAGGTTGCATGCCACTGGTTGCTGCTACTTCTCCTCGATCAAGCACCGCAGCGGGCACTCCTCCTCGCGCCTCGACTGACCGTCGTCGACAGAGCAGGCCGAAACCAACCAAGGTGGGGAGCCCTAATGGGCGATCAATCGTGCTCCCTGCGCCCCGCGCGATCAGTTCTAACCCATCTAGTCTCTCCTCTCTACTACTAGTGCGGCGGACAGCACTCGCTTGGAGCGCCCGCGTTTTCTGTTTTTTTTTTCGGTTTCTCTTGAGCGCCCGCGTTTTCCGTTTCTTTTTTGTTTTTTTTTTCGGTTTCTCTTTTTTTTTTGGTTTTTTCTGTTTTTCTTCCGTACCTTCCGTTTTGTTTTTTTTCTGTTTTTTTTCTTTCCATATCTTTTTCTGTTTTTAATACTTATGTATGCAAACTTTATATACGTACAAATACAAATTTTGTATACGTGTATTTTTAGGTTTTTATACGTACGTATACCAATTTTGTATATATGTATACAAAGTTTGTATACACATATATAAAGTTTGTATATGTGTATTTTTTTAGGTTTTTATACCTACGTATACTAATTTTTTATACACGTATATAAAGTTTATATACACATTTACAAAATTTATATACAAGTATTTTTTTATGTTTTTATACGTATGTACAAATACAAACTTTGTATACGCGTATACAAACCTTACATCCCGTACGTACACATATATAAACTTTGTATACACGTATGCAAAGTTTGTATATGCGTATACAAACTTCACGTATGTGTATACAAACTTTGTATATGTACATATTAAAATCACGAATACAAACTTTGTATACGTGCAAATACAAAATTTGGTATACATACGAATACAAACTTTGCAAACGTACATCTTTAAAAAAAAAGAAAGAGAAACCAAAAGAAAACCAGAAAAAAATCAAATAGAAATAGAAAAAAAACCGAAAAAATCGTCTCCAGTCTCCACACGCACGCCGTCTGTGCCCCCTTTCTGCACGCGACACGTGTCCAGTCGCTCCAGTTGCCCATTAGCACTTTTGAACCAAGGTGGGTATGGAACCCCACACCCGCCGCCGCCGCCGCCACGCCACCAACCGTGCCACCAGCGCTGCACAACCCTCGCCCCATTGCGTTGCCATTGCGTGGGAGGGCCTTCATCGCCATGCCGACCTGTTGCCCTAGCTGCTTGTAGCAACTAGCGAGGGCAAGCCGAGATGGCCCCAGATCTGAGCAGCTTGGCGTCCCCTAGGGGCGCCGTCGTCTCCACGTGCTTCCATCATGCCATCCGTCGCTTGACTTCGTCGCGTCGTCACCGCCGCTTGTCCCTGATGCGCCGATGTGGCCATCGCTGCCACTTGTCCCCAACGTGTTGATGCGGCCCTGCTCCATGCCGCTGCCCCTCCTCTCCGCACATGAGGATGATGAAACTGAGCCCCCCCGTCACCATCCTAGTTAGCCGCGCGGTGTCTGGCGGCTAGCTCCGGTGGAGGCGAGGCAGGGGAGGGAAAGAGGGAGTGGCGGCGCTAGGGTTTCAGTTCACCCTTCTCCGGTCGCCAGCGTGGGGGTGACGCGGGGGCAATAGACACATTTGTTAATGTCCAGAAGAATCGCATGCTTTTTAAATCATTAAACGGTTTACACTGTTAAATAGTTTATTTTGTACGGAAAATTTTTCATATAGAAGTTGTTTTCAAATATCAGATAAATCCAATTTTTAATTTTATAATAATTAGTACGGAGTACGTACTCAACTAATTTCCTCCCAGAAAATGTCTATATCACCGCCTTCCCTAGGGGCTCAATCTGAATTCGCTTCCTCAAACCACAGTACCAAGATCTGCACCTCCCTTAGCTTTGAAAACTAAAGTCAACTTACCTCTATGACTAGATTGTACATTAATTTTGTCTGACGTGGTATGCTGACATGGTCTCCTATGCTAAAGTCACTAAGAAAAATTGTAGTGCCCACATGCTAGTGAACCTTAATTTATCACGCTATTCTCCCTCTACTACTCTCTTTCTGCTAACCGTGGCCTTCAGCGACAAGACAATGGTCTTGATGCTCCAACCAAAGCTGCACCATGTCCATGCCTGGCTCTTGATGCAATTAGCCCGTTGGAGTCGCTTCTTCGGCTTCGTTGAGCTTCTAGATCTCACTGCCTCTATTGAACTCCCCCAATAGCATCACGCTGTTGTCATCCTAGCTAACCTCCAGGTGGCGCTGAGATCATACACGGATACACCACCTTCATCTCTCCTGTGTTTTCCTCAAGTTTAGCTTACAGCTATCCTAACCGAACTTGAGAAAGAGTCGTGGTGGCAACAGAGCTTAGGGTGTATGGCGGAGGTAGCGAACGCGAAGGAGACCGGAGAAAGGGAGTAGAGTGGGAGAGACTAGATCTAGTCGTGAGCGTGTCCGGCAAGGACTCCTCCTCCTCAGGCACACGACAATATGGCTCTCATCTTCCTCCCTATCAAACTTAAGGATGAGATCGAGGTGCAGTAGAGGCGATCGGAGTTGTCCACAGGTTCATCGCATGAGTCTAAGTAGACACCATCGCTCCACCGCTAGATTCAAGCGTCTTCAAGGAGATCGTGTGGCAGACAGTGCCACTAAGGAGAACGAGAGAGAAAGAGGGGAGGTGGGGTTGAAGACTAAAGTTGTAACTCACATGTGGGTCTATCGTTTCTAACTGATAAGTGGGGCTTACCACGTAGACACCACATAAAAAGAAAATCACTGTGCAAACCAGCCAAGGAAGTAAAATTCACCTGATTTTCAAAATTCAAGCAAATGCAGCTTCTGATGTTGCAGTGAGAGAGGAAAATTTGAGTCCATACTGGAGGACTTCGTATAGACTTCTGTGCTGCTAACTATATTCCTTTCGGCGAATATTTGGGCTGGAGTGCCCTACAATATGGGCCTCCAAAGAATCACCCAAAAACTCCATAAGTCCACAAACATTTGGCCCACTTCCCCGTCACACCTCTCCTAAAATCCCCTTCCCTTGAAGCGCCGCCCACACAAACCCCGCCTCCGCCGCCGCCGCCGCCGCCGGAGATGCTCTTCGCCGCCGCGGCCGTGCAGCGCCGGTGGCCCTAGCTCGAGAAGGAGCCGGAGCTCTGCACACCCTCCCCGCGCCATGAGACCCTGCCCCTTCCTCGGATGCCCTTCCGACCGCGCCTCCCGCTCCCCCTCCTCCTCCTCCTCCTGCCTCACCTCCGGCGCCGCCGCTCCTCCCCCCGCCCGCCCGTGCCCGCGTGGAGACCGCTCTCGTATTATCCCTCGGCGGCGGCCGCGGCGGCGGAGGTGACGGAGTCCGAGGAGGACGCGGCGGCTGTTGGCAGGGACACCCGAGCCCCTCCCTCCATCGGCGGGATTGCACGGGGAGCGCCTAGGGTTGGCTGCAATGGCGGGGGGGCTGCCGATGACGAGGAGGTCGAGAGGAAGGCCCGCGCTGTCGCGCGGATCAAGCTCTGCCATGAGCTTCTGCGGGAGAGGAGGTGGCGCGCGATGCGGGCAGCCTTGGCGCAGCTGGTGACTGAGCAAGGTGAGCATGCTATGAATTTTCCCCATTCTGATTATCAACTCTACTCATGTGGTATCTGAATAACTATGGTGATTGGTGTGAGGAGGCGTAGGAATGGCATCGGTAGTTTTGAACTTCTGATCGATATGAATGTGTGACACAGGATATATTGTTTTTCCAGAGGCATTATCAATTGATCATTACCATATAAAAAACAGTAAGAAAAGGGTCGAAAGCAATGCATACATAGTTGTATTTGGTGTAGTATTATTACTGTAATTCGTTTTTTACTAGAAGGTCTCTGCAAGTATGACAAACTAGTAACATAAAAATTGTTCGCGTTTAATCTTATTGCGCTTCCTGCTGTAGGATCTGGGTCTGCAGCTGCTCTCTGTGACATCTTATGGAACAGATTCAGAGAGTGTGATTCCAACGGTTGTGTATGGGATGCTCTAGCGAACAGTTATGCTAGAGCTCAGATGGTTCATGATGCCCTTTACGTTCTTAGTAAAATGAGCAGCCTAAACATGCAAATCTCGGTGTTCACCTATGACAGTTTATTGCACGGCTTAAGGATGACAGACGTGGCATTGGAGCTTTTTGAAGAAATGGAGTCTTGTGGTGTCTCTCCCAGTGAATATTCGCATAGTATTATTATTAATGGCCTCTGTAAGCAAGATAAGGTTGGAGAAGCTTTATCTTTCCTTCAGGAAGCTAGGAAGGAGGGAAAGTTTAAACCCTTGGGAATGACCTTTAACATTCTTATGTCTGCATTGTGTAATTGGGGGTTTGTTCAGTCTGCAAAATCATTTTTATGCCTGATGCTGAAATATGGATTAGTCCCTGACAGGTATACCTTTTCTACCCTTATACACGGTCTATGTAAAGTAGGTTCAATGGAGGAAGCATTGGATCTTTTCGAGAGAGTGACAAAAGAAGGAATGGAACTTGAGATTGTGACCTACAATAGCCTTATCAATGGGTACCGATTGCTTGGTTTAACAAAAGAAATTCCTAAAATCATCCAGATGATGAGAGGCCAAGGTGTTGAACCTGATCTTGTTACATATACTATACTTATTGCTGGTCACTGCGAAAGTGGTGATGTTGAAGAAGGAATGAAGGTAAGGAAGGATGTCCTAGACCAAGGTTTGCAGTTGAATATTGTCACATATAGTGTCCTTCTCAATGCTCTCTTCAAAAAAGGCATGTTCTGCGAAATTGACAACCTACTCGGCGAGATCTACAATATTGGTTTGGATATGGATGTTATCGCATATTCCATCCTTATCCATGGGTATTGCAAGCTAGGGGAAATTGAAAAGGCTCTTCAAGTATGTAATGCAATGTGCAGTTCTCAGAGGGTAATGCCAACATCACTGAACCATTTTTCTATTCTTCTAGGACTTTGCAAGAAAGGATTGTTAGTTGAAGCAAGGTGGTATTTGGAAAATGTAGCTAGAAAATATCAGCCAACTGATGTAGTGTTCTATAATGTCGTTATTGATGGTTATGCAAAACTTGGTGATATTGTAAATGCTGTTCGTTTGTATGATCAGATCACTGTAGCTGGTATGCACCCAACCATTGTCACATGCAATTCTCTTCTATATGGGTATTGTAAAATTGGGGATCTGCAACTTGCCGAGAGCTATTTTAGGGCTATTCAGCTAAGTGGACTTCTACCAACAGCAGTGACATACACTACCTTGATGGATGCACTCTCTGAAGCTGGAGAAGTTAATACCATGCTAAGTCTTTTTGATGAAATGGTTGCAAAGAGGATCAAGGCAAATGCAGTAACTTACAGTGTCATTGTTAAAGGGCTTTGTAAGCAGCTCAGATTTGATGAGGCTATCAATGTTCTCAAAGATATGGATAGCAAAGGTATTAATGCTGACCCGATAACTTACAATACCCTTATACAAGGTTTCTGTGAATCAGAAAACGTTCAGATGGCTTTCCACATACATGACATCATGTTATGCCGTGGCCTTGTGCCGACACCTGTTACTTATAACTTGCTTATTAATGTGCTGTGTTTGAAGGGAAAAGTTATTCAAGCAGAAATACTTTTGGAGTCCCTCAGAGAAAATGGCATTAAGTTGAGAAAATTTGCGTACACAACACTTATCAAAGCTCAGTGCGCAAAAGGAATGCCTATCAATGCTGTTTTGTTAGTTGGTAAGCTTCTAGATGCAGGATTTGAAGCTTCTATTGAAGATTTCAGTGCAGCAATCAATCGACTTTGCAAAAGACAATTTGCCAAAGAAGCCTTTATGTTTGTCCCGATTATGCTATCTGTTGGTATTTACCCAGATACTCAAATATATTGTGTGCTAGGCAGAGCTCTGCAGAAAAATAGTGAGCTTGTCTATCTACCCATATTAAATGCACTTGCTGTTAAAACTGGTATTTAATACCTTGAGCATGTGAGTGCGACTGTGTTATCACTTTTACTTATAGTGTACATTACATTGAATAACTAATTCATACTTTACCTTTTGGTTGATGTTTGGTGTTGTACAGGTTTTATAGGCACTATGCCCTTGACTCCTTGTGTCTCGATAATCGACAATTGAGGACAATATTGGCCCAGGGAATCACAGGATCCATATGTTGTGCCAAAGAGTAAGATTAAATCAACTCTTTTATATTAAATCACTTTATAAGAATATCTGAATCAAGAATTTTAAGAGCTCAAGACTATATTTAAAATTCTGTTTCTCCTCTTTTGGCAGTGCCCGGACTGAGCGCATGTCATTTGGTGATCTTTTTAGCTGAATCTGCAATGGTGAATATTTCTTAGGTAACTGGAGTCTGACCATTCAGTCATTGTAGTGTTTTGTTTAAAAGATAACCATGTAGTTGTTATATCTTTTGAATTTTGCTAAGTTTTGTTGGTTTCTCCACTATTGGAACTTGGTTGTTGCGTTTTTCATCCCTGTTTGCATGCTTATATCAATATATTTAAAGTACATGTTTAGGAGGATATTTAAAATATCCAAAGCAGGTGGGCCCTGGATACAGACAAGTACTTATTTGCTCTTGCCCAATCAACAAAACATATGTGTGAAATGGCTTGTTTTGTTCAAAGCACTTAATGTGGCTTGGTCATTCTTTAAACCATAAATCATGGAATTTGTGCAACCGTGAAGCCGTGCACTCACTGTTTTGGAGATCCAAGAATACTATTTTGCTTACTCTAGGTGTATGTCAAATAGATTTGTTCTTGTTTCATCTGAGTTTCATGATTGTTGCTTGGTAGGATTGCTACAATTTCTTGGTGATGAAGACTTGTTTTATAAATACCATCAACATTACTATACAAAAGCTCAGTTGGTTCATTGTCTATATCTAAACTCACAACTCAATATCTAAGATCCTGTCATATCTTGTCATAAATAAGCTCCATATTCTTGTTTGGCTATTATAATGTGTACAGACAACAAAATTTCATTTATGTGTTCTTGCAATCAAAAGAATGATGAAATAATGCTAGGTGTGTCACTTTGTGTCTTGTCATTTTATTCTCACTCAGAGTCGAATATATGTCCACTATGGCACTGTCAGTAAGCAGAGTTTAGGAGTCCTGTCATGCTTTCTGAAGAATGCTTTGTTCTCTCATTCTTAGATCCATCAATGAGGCAGATAGGCAGATGGCATTAAGGTGAGCCATCACCATCAGCCATCCGTGGCTCGTCGGTGGATGGAGCAACAAAGCAATCAAGAAAGTAACATGAATGTCATTAGTAGTTGCAGAGAGGCCATGTAACCAAAATTAAGTGTCACTCGGTGCTGACTGGAGGTACGGATTCGTTAACTGTTTCAATCTATCGTGTGCTGGTATAACATTGAGAAAATGACTTGCCCATGGTACAGGTCATGGAATGTGAAATTCCAACGTATCAACAGAGATGCCACCCCAATTGAACTTCATCCATGTAACGACGAATTTTTGGTCATTGAAGGGTCACTGTGTGGGCATCACTGAAAACCAAGTTGATCAGAGGGGATCCATGAAGCATGAAAACCTCCTACTTGTCGGATGGAAGAGGACAAGGATGAGGCTAGCCATCCCACTCTCCTACTGAAGAGCATCTTGTCAGGTGGCCCCCAGGATCTCTAGTCTAAGCCCCAAAGATCTCTTCTACCAAGCTAGCATCTCCTGAGATCTCTGTTAGTATCTGTTGTATGACCGAAAGCCACAACTTCAGGGCTTGGTGGAATGGTAGATGACCACCCTTGTTCTGTTGTTTTTTGTCCTTCATGTGCTTTAGTCATTGTCCATCCTGGGATTCCAGCGTTTCCCTCTTTATGTAGTTTGTCTAACATGCATTTCACAGTTACACGTTTGTAATCAGATCATGAATATTTAGTCAGAAACAATAGCACTTTGTATTAAGATGTACAGCATTCATGATGTAGCCAACTGCATGTATATATCCAGGTGAATAGACAACAGATCAGGTTTGCCGTCAATCCTTAAGAGAGATGACACTGTGTCTTTACTTGAGAACATTGTAAACCTGGTCACCACTTTTGTGATTCTTTAGCTGAGTGAATTGATGTCACTTACAGTCTGCACCCCAACTTATTTTTTTCTTTCAGGAACAGGGAAGACCCAGGATTTGGAAGCTAGATGGAGTATAAAGTGTGTGCATTCATGGCATGGCGCCAAAATGTGAAGCTGATGCCCAACAAGCTCAAGGACGACGTGCTAGAGGACAATCGGATAAAGCCTCCACTGTTGATGATCTGCGGCAAGAGGGATAGTGACACTTGACCATGGTAAAAAAAAAATGAAGAACGGTAAGCCAGTCTACCAGCCAAGCACTCTGCATCTGTCCCCTGAACTCATATGGCAAGTAAAATGTCCCGAATTTTGTCAATGGCCAGGAATGGATCCATGCTGTACTAGTACGTGCAGATCAGACATCTGGATGGATGGCATTCATCTCTGTTACCTTCTGAAAACGCATCATCAGCAGCTGGCAGCAGGGAGGGGAAAAGGGAAGATGAAAATTTGCCCGTTTCAGAAGGCAAGGGTGGAAGCAGAATCATGGGCCAGGTGCTGCACAGGCTCACAGGCACACACACTGCTTGCTTTGGCTTCCACCAGTGGAGACCTGGAGGCACCGATGTGAGCATAGCAGGCTGTCGTTGTTGGCGAAAGCCGCGGCAAGAGAGGATGGCAGAGGAAGAAAGGTGAGGTACTGCAATGCTGTCTACTGCTCGTGCAGTACATTAGCATATACTACCTCCGTTTCATAGTACTACTCAGGCCCTGTTTAGTTCAAGGGTGAAAAGTTTTGACGTGTCACATTGGATATACGGACACACGTTTGAAGTATTAAGCGTAGTCTAATAACAAAACAAATTACATATTCCGACTGTAAACTGCGAGACGAATTTATTAAGTCTAATTAATCTATCATTATCAAATGTTCACTGTAGTACCATATTGTCAAATGGTGGCGTAATTAGGCTTAAAAGATTCGTCTCACAATTTACACGCAATATGTGTAATTAGATTTTTTTATCTATATTTAATACTCCATACATGTGTTTAAATATTCGATGTGACAGGGTGAAAAATTTTTGCGTGGGAACTAAAGAGAGCCTCAGAATTTGTCACTGCACCTATCTGTTGTATACTTGTATACGGACACAGGACACTGAGTATGGCCGTAAACTGTGCCGGGAAAGTAGATTTGAGTTGGAGTTATTTTACTGTGATCTCGATCAATCTCTACTGGTAGTATACGGTGTGCTCTTATACATGCTTAGTACGGAGTAACAAACGATTTTACAGTAATTTGTAGCAGTCATTAGTGTTCCTGGTCATTTGCGATGCGGGAGTGCGGCAACTTTGTGCATTGTTTTGCAAAACCGCGGTTTGATCCCGTATAGTACTCCCTCCGATTCTATAATAATTGATGTTTTAAAGAAGGTTAAGGTCAAACTTTTATAATTTGACCATCCATAACTTTAAAAATATTTAGTATAAATAAACTAGAACAACATATGTAGTTTTGTCTTCTACATATGTACTTTAAAAATATTTAGTATAAATAAGCACCATAATAAAAGTAAACATGCATTTATTTATTATATACTCCATCCGTTTCAAAATGTTTGACACCGTTGACTTTTTAGCATATGTTTGACCGTTCGTCTTATTTAAAAAAAATTGTGAAATATGTAAAACTATATGTTTACATGAGAGTATATTTAACAATAAATCAAATGATATGAAAAGAATAAATAATTACTTAAATTTTTTAAATAAGACGAATGATCAAACACGTACTAAAAAGTTAACGGTGTCAAACGTTTTGAAACAGATGAGGCATATTATAGTAGAAAAATAAGATCAAAGATATATTTTATAGACCATGTCATTGTTTAAAACGTCAATTAAAATAAAACCGGAGGGAGCATTATGATTGGTTGATCGCTGCCTCGATCAGCAAGGTCGTCGTCTCGGCTGATCTGGGGCCTCACGTACACCGAGCGGGGTGGCGTCGTGGTGTGTTTCGTGGGGGGAAAGACTACTCCTGTCTGAGATCGCTGGATGCCACGCTCTCTGGATGAGCTGCTGCTGGGTGCATGGCCAGCATTGCGATGGATCAGTACTTCACTACGAGCCCGTTTGGGAGACCTCAGCTCCTAAATCTAACTTACCTTAGTTCAGGTCCCAACTATTCGTCTTATTACAATTCTTTTTTATGGTTAGTATTTGTAATATTATTTGATGATAAAACATGAATAATACTTTATGAGTGTACTTTTTTTAAAAAAAAATTCTTAATTTTTTCAAATAAGAAAGGACGGTTAAATGTTAAACATGGATACCCATGACTACACTTATTTTGGAACGGATATAGTACCAGAGAAAAACCGAGTCCAACCGACTTATTGGGCCATGTTCTCTTAAATCATTAAACGGCGTGTTTTATTTTTTAGAATTTTTTTACAGAGGTTATTTTAAAGAGAAATCAAACAAACACATTTTTTAAGTTTATAATAAGTTAATACCACCTCGGTCCCAAAATATACGTAATTCCAGAATTAACATGGGTATTAAAAAAAGGTTGGTGAAATTAAATAGATGAATATTATGATTTATTGGGTAAAAGAATATATGTAAGGAATTTAAATAGTAGAAGGTTATGAGCTTGTGATTAGTTGAGAAAAGTGTAAGTGGAGAAGTTATCATATTTTGACACAAATTTTAAAAGTAGGAAGTTGTTAATGAACAGAGTACAGGACGAAGTACTTAATGAACAGAGTATAGGATAATATTATTTGTCGTTTAATGTTTTTTTTTAAAAAAACTAAGCCAAGCTGTTTTTTCGAATGGAGCCTTACTAGTTACTACTCGGGAGCGGCGACTCCTTTCCGTACGTTATACCATCATGAAAGGAAGGATGGGCTGTACCGCTGTAGTAACTTGTACTCTCCCCGTTTAATAAAAAATAATCCTAATATGAAATATGATATATTTTAATATTATAAATCTAGACAAAAGATATCGTATTCTGTACTAGATTTCTTTTTTCAGAGGGAGTAATTGTCAGCATGATCATAATGAGATGACTGGACAAGGGGGCTTGGGCTGCTAATATTATATATCTCCCCGTTTTAAAATATATGACACATTTTGTTTTCTTACTATAAGAATTTGATCAACGATTGCTCTACTAGGATACACTTTTTGTGACACAAAATAAAGTTTTTATATTTACTAGAAAAGTGCCCGTGCGTTGCTACGGGTGAATGCTATTTTGATCTTATTATTGTTATACGATTTAGCTAGAATGAAATTCAATTTAGGAATTCGCTTGGATATTTTTTTTAGAAAATCATGAGCTGCAATTAAGAGTCCAACTTTCATCTCAAGTTAGCATGTGAGTTTTTTTAAAGATATTTCTTATACGACTCCTTTTGTGTTTCTCAAAATAAACTTAAAATCCGACTCAAACACGGATATGTATTTCCAAAAGCGAACAAACTTAAAAAACCTACTTAGATACATATGACATACTACCTCCGTTTTTAAATAGATGACACCGTTGACTTTTTCTCACATGTTTGACCATTCGTCTTATTAAAAAAATTTACGTAATTATAATTTATTTTTTATGAGTTGTTTTATCACTCATAGTATTTTAAGTGTGATTTATAGCTTATACATCTGCATAAAATTTTTAAATAAGAGGAATGGTCAAACATTGAAGAAAAAGTCAACGGCATCATCTATTAAAAAACGGAGAGAGTATCAAAATACCGGCAAAATATTTTCAATTTTTATAATAGTAGAATATTAAAAAGAACTTGCTTATGATTATAAAACTTTTATATCACAAATGATATTTTAATACAGTAATTATTGATCAATCTTATCCTAAAAAAATACCCTATAACTTTAAGCAAAGAGAGTGCTACATAAATAATAAATAATAGGATGTGTCATATCCCATCATAGATTTATTTTTATGATGGAGGAAGTATACCCAAGTTTTTTTTTTTTAAAAAAAAAGAGTAGATACCCCGTACATGTGGCATGTCATGTTTGTTGAAACATACTATGCACGTCGAGACCAATCTGGATCGATGAAGCAGAAATTTTGGTCAAATTTATCGTTTAATTGCATCCTCAGATGAGGGTGTTTATATAGCTGGAACTTAGTTGAGGTTTGTGTTGATTAATTTGAAAAGGTCATTTTACTCCTTTAAGCGGATGCACATTCATCCCTTGCATGTTAGGCACATGGTTATGATTCTGGAACTAACATGCAAGCTAAAGGTCGACCTATTCAAGTTGAGGCAAAAATAAAATTTGATTATGAATAATACATGTACTACTCAAGAGTGTAATTTATTTTCTTTTCTCGTTGATAGATGGTTAATGTATTAATATAGTTTTGATTGGTTAAGCTATGGATGAAAAGCCGTGAGAAAATAAATGAAGAAAAAATAATTTATAGGTAAAACGTTTACATATATCTTTATTTTAATGGTTCAAAAGCAAGGCTGGAAAATGTGCTTAGAAAAAAGTTAAAATCAACTCCACAATAATGCAATAAAATTTAAATTTTGGTTACCGCTAATAAGCCAACCAACGAGTAGGCGATGATCATTCCTTAGAGGTGTTGTGTGCTTAATTTGTTTTTCTTTTCCTCGACAATATACATGACATTTTTTCTACTATATCAATAGAAATATCGCACTATCTTGTGCGGGTTGTAAAAAGATGATAAAATCGCTTATGGATATGTATGATGTGGGTCTTGTGAAGAAGACAAAAAAACCAACGTGCTAAACAGGGCCACCAAGTTGTCATAGATGTCAAACTCTCGATGAACATTGTATATATATTGTTGTTATCATAGATGTCAACTCTAATATGAACCACTGTTATTGGGAATTTTGGGAGCGCGACAACTCATCCGAGGCCCCCATTCTGCCGTGGACGTACCGCCGCCGGCGACGACGCAGCACAAAATCAGACCACCACTCACCGGCCACAGACTTGTCGCGCGCTAGCGGCCCACCGAAAACCTCGATACGGCGCGTGATTTCGCTCGCTCGCTCGCGCGGGCCAGCAAAAAAAAAAAATTGTGAATATACATATTTCTTTTAATAATTTACGGCATACGAAGAATTTGCATAAATATGCACATCCTACATGGTGAAAACGCAGGACCGAGTGTTTTGCGTGACCTAAAAACACGGGATTGACGGTCCCGCGGGCTGGGCATGCGAGACCGGCTGCGCATATATAGGGTGAGACATATATAATACTGTTCGGTGCTGTTTAGCACCGTTGAGACATTGTTTACGCTGTTTGGACATTGTTTACTACTATTCACAGAGCCAGTTCCACGCAACGGAACCGTGGGACCGTCTCGGTGCCGTGTGGTCCCGCTGGCCACCACGCTGCCACATTTTTGTAGCCGCGGGACCATGGCGGTTCCGCTCGCCCATTCAACGGGAACGGCCCAAACAGTGCTCCCACAATCCGCAACGTGATTTGTGAGCGCTCCCGCGTATTCGATTTGTGGGACATATATATTTGTGACATTTCTTCTCATACAGATACATGAACGTAAATTATTTAAAAAAAAGTATATGCACAATTTTTTTTCGCGCGGGCGCCTCGGCTAAACTCGCCAAACACCGGAGCAGAGCCCTTCGGTGAATTAGTTCGTTTGGTTGGTTGCAGTGCTGCGTGCTAGTTAGGCAGTAGATGAACTTTTACTCAAGACTGTTAGGCCCGTGCGTTATAACGGTTTTTTATTTACTTTGGTGAAAGGATTTGGACCGATTAATCTGTTTGGTTTTTATAACGTTTGTTTTTTTAAGAAATCGGTTTTTTAAGTTGAACCGTTTTTATAGGAGAGAAGATGATTTTAAGTGAAAGCGAGAGATCGTGATCATCATACTACAAAAAATGGTAGGAAGAGCTACTACATGTATCGGAATAATAAGAAAATATATTTTAACATATTTTAAGAAAAATATTATGAGAATGTTGGGGATTGAACACGAGACCTCAAGATTGAAACCA